CGACGATATAAACAGAGAAAAGATCCAGACAAACAACGAATCATTTAAACAACTCTTTCAGATTTAAACCTCAGCTGGATGTTTTGATCCCAGTCAGTACAAGTGTTATCAAAAACCGTTCAGTTGCAAAATCCACTGAAAGCCTTGTCAACTGATAATGCACGAGAACAATCTGAGTACATGCTGTGGAATACATTTACATCCAGCAGTTTTATCTACATCTCATCTGCCATACTACACATCTAATTCAGCGCCTCCCAAAACCATCAAAAACCAACCAAATTGCCAAAATCAATCGCACCAATAGACTTTATAACCAACTTATGCTTACAATGCTTTAGGAAAAATACATTTCTGTTTTGCACACACTGAAAAACCCATATTAGTTAGTTCTAAAATTACTTTTGCAGTTATAGATTTAAAACAGCTTGTCAAGCAATTTAAATCAAAGCAGAAGCCTTTGCCCAGTAGTGTGTGTGCTCTGAAGATGTTAACCAGTCTCACAATGAACACTTCCGTGAACTATCAACTCAATAAATGAATGGCTACCTTAGCAACAGGTGACCAATTAACAGATAAAATAACACAGTTCTCTGACAAAAGAAAATCATTATTGGATGATAAAAAGAGTTTTCAAAACAATGGTGAAACTGTTTTCCCCACATGAATACAGATATGCAAAAAAATAATTTGATTGAATAAAAAATCTCAGGTTCTTTGGATTTACTGAATTCATAGGTATAAGTTTGAGAAAAATGTCAATCAGTACCTGCAGCATCAAAAAAATATTTAAAAAAACGACAAGATATTTGTTAGGGCTGAACAAAAAATTACTTGCAATTTGTCTAAAAAGCTGGGTCTGTAATCAGCTGTGAATCTCTACCACATCTGTGGCTCATTCAAAAAACGTACGACTGCATACATTTCTCGAGAGTTGGCAAATATGTTCCAGAAGGTACATGACATGGTTTGCTGTGATCAGCAATTTGGCTGTTTGCAACAGATGAAAAACAACAGAAGTTCAGAAGCACAGAATAGTGCACTTACTGCACTCCAATAAAATAGCAAGGTTTACAATCTAATTAATACATATTTAAACCTCTTTAACATTAATAAATGTACATGCTGAATCACGAATATGCCACACAGTTCTAAAGTTGCTGAATCTGCTGCTGCTTTCAGTAGTATGGCAAGTCAGTAGAATATTGCATTTAACACTGGATAAAGGACATGAGGTGTACCTGCGGCGATCACTGTCAGTTTTCTATTGTTTAGCAGCAAAAAATAAAAGTCCTTCCCATGGCGGTCTGCAGATCTGCAGAGTGGATGCGCGCGTACTGAAGAGCGGTGTTATCGCGCGCGTACTGATCAGCTGTTTTGTCGCGCGCTTACTCAAGAGTGGTGTTGTCGCGCGCCTACTGAAGCGCGGGACCAAAGGTGTGCCGCGTCGCGGGAGCACTTTTGATCATTTTGGAAGGGCACTTTCTATCCAAGACTAAAAAGGGCATGTGCACTGCACAGGTTTAGCCCTATGAGTGCACGTGCCTGGTCCTTCCTAAAATATAAATTTAAGATGTTGGTTAGGACAAAAACATTTTTTTAATATGGAAAATGTTCTTTCTATCTTGTGCCCTTGTTTGTTTTTTTTTTTTTTTTTTTAGAAAACAACTTATATCAGCCTTAAATGAGCCTATAGGCTCGATAATCAGGCACAAAGGTCTACAGAACACACTACTAGTGGTGTGAACCTACACTGGTCTCACGTACAGTATGTATCAAACAAAAGTAAAGTGAACGACCAGAACATGAGCATTTAAAGCAAATAAACTAATGTAAATATTATCCTGCTTGCTTTTTGAGCATTGATGAGCAAGTTCTTAAACTTTTATGATTGATCTCTGGCGCTGTTTAGCAAACAGTGACACGGACCCCCGGTGATCAGTTGATCCATTATAGATGGTGACGCGGTGGAGAAAACTCACTCTGCAGACACACTCATGTAACGTTATTGTTGTAACAGTCGAGAGAGGAGATGAAACATTACTTCATGAACACGCCAGCAGGTCAAAAGACCCACAGAGAGAGAGAATTACTGCTTTCTTTTTAGCTGGGTTCTCATGTACTTTTCTGTCAATGAAAGAGAATTGTGCACAGTTGTCTGCTTGTAGTTGGAGCGTTTTAATTACTTGCGGTGTCCTCACTCACCATAGTAATCTACTGTCACATAACGCATATGTGATAAATGACGTCAAAACATAATAACCGGTTAAGATTTTCACCGAACCGATACCGAATTGTTCGCATCTGCATCGTCACCAGTGTTGTCAACTATTTCCAATGAAAAGTAGCTAAAGCCTGCCTGAAAAGTTGCTAAATGTTGCCAGATGACCTCACGCACTAATTTGCATATCAGTGACGTCATCATGTAGTATGTCACAAGCGTAATCCAGATGCACAATAAATAGGTTCTTATTAACATCTTACTTTGCGTTTTGACGTCATTGCGTAATCGCAACTCAAAACTACTTCTTCATGTAGAATACAAAACAATTAATGTTTTCTCAAATTGACTGGCTATCTCAGCAAAAACATTATCTGAAATATGTCCATTTAGATTTTATGAAAAACAAATTATTTGTAAAAGTAATACAAAATGTTTTCTTTTTAAATATAACACTGATAATAAACAGTTACAATCTTTTAAACAATCGAAGCTTGTGTATTTACTCTTTTGAAATTAACACATATATGAAAGTGAAAACAATTATAACACTATTGGAATTTATTGCTACCCAAATTACCAACAATTGTACATGTTGACAAATATCAGTAAATTAACATTTATGAAAAACAATCTGAGCCAGCGATTTACTCTACTGACTGAAGCCTGCAGCCACAGCTAATTTGAGTCCTTTTTTAAAAACATGTTTAAAAAAATTGCTAAAAGTAACCAAATAAATGTTAATATTGCTAAATTTGTTGCTAGGTGCTTTTTGAAAAAAAAAAGTTGCTAGGGTAGTATTAAAAATTGCTAGCAACAAAATTGCTAAGTTGGCAACACTGATCGTCGCTGTGATACAATAGTTTGCATTATTACCCTAACTTGCCTAACTAACCTAATTAACCTAGTTACGCCTTTAAGGGTGCTTTCACACTAGCACTTTTGGTCTGCACCCGGGTTCGTTTGACGTCATAGTATGGTACAATTAGCTAGTGTGAATGTGTCTTTTGAACTCGGGTGCACACTCTTGAACCGTACCCGAGTCCGCTTCATACGAACATACGTAAGGTTCATACGAACTCTGGTACGGTTCACTTCTGATGTGAATGCAATCGTACCAAATTATGGAAGTGAACTACCAACTGTACAACAAATTATAATTTTTCATAACATTCGTTCGTGTTTGTGTGTGTCACGTTTCCTACCTTGGTGACACGCGCAGGACTGAGCCAGGGCAAACACAGTAATACACAGTGATGTCTGCTTGTCTCCTCCAAAAACAGCTTCTGCAGACACTGTGTAATGTTCTGAATGTTTATAATATGTTTGCGGCAGATGGACGCGAGTCGCTTTCTGTATGTCCAAAACCAAAAGCTTCAGTTAAAGCAGAATGACCGCGATGTGCGGAAGTCTTTCCATTTCGGGGCTTGCTTTTGTGACTGTCACCTAGCAACAGCCGTAAACAAAACAGCAGCTCCATGACGCATAATTTACAACATGCTGACCACAATGGCGCTATTATGCTGATGCATTTGGAAGAAAAAATAAGTATCGCTCTTGTTATCTGCAAGACTCTTTTAACCACAGTATTACTTTCTATTGCTGGTTTAATCTTTTTCTCCCCTTTTTAGATTTACGATCAAGTTATGTCAGTATTTTTAATGTAGTAAATCATCTAATTTTCATTTAGCAGATATAATATTCATGAATATTATTTATTCAAATTTTTATATTCACTAAGGTGCCGCAGTTTGGGGTTGAATGATAGTTAACACATCAATAACCTGCACGCTGCATTTTTCTCACGGGGCTGCAAGAAAATAAATAATTAGAGCGAAGCTGCAGCAAAAGAATAAATATAAAGAGTGAGGCTATGGTCAAATAAATCAATAAATAAATGAAAAAAGTGCGACTGCAGACAGTGCAGGCAGCTAGGGACACCGTTCCCCGTGGCCAAAAAAACTGACTGGCCCACGAGGAATTCTCCCGGTCCTCCCAATTAGCCAATCCAGGCCTGTGTTTGGAAATGTGTTGAAAAAAATCTTTCCGTTAAACAGAAATTGGGGAAAATATACAGAGGCTTAAAATTCTGACTTCAACTAAATGTATAATATCCTGACTTTTCCTAAATGTGTGTATTTTCTTTCAAACATTGTTATTTTATTCAAATTACAAAACACATCAGTTCTGAACATTATTACCTTCAACAACCACCAAAATGAGCGCATACATTTCAGCTTCTGCCATTTTATTTCTTGTTGCCTCTGTTTCCTAGCAACTTCCTGCTAACAGAGACAAAACTTTCTAATAGCAAAAACATGATTTTACTTCAGACACACCTTTCAAAACAACATTCAGTGCCATGAGAAAACCTTGCTCTCTCCTTGTGAAAGTGAGGTGCGCATCTTCGCATGCAGTGATTCATACACATTTATAAGCTGTACTACCAAAACAATATTTTTTTAGGAAAATGACTTCATAAAATATGACAGACCTTCAAAGCTTAATTCTAACATCTCAAGAGCTTTTTTAATGTAAATAGGACATGACAATATGTGGCAATGGCCATGCTAGCAGTAACAGAATTCTGGTAGTTAAATTCAAGTAAAATCGTAAACAGGTGAAAATTCACAGACAAATTCCAGGGAAACCAACATCTTAAGAAAAGGACTGTAATATGTCACCTTTAAATTGGATGATTCACAATTTTCCACATACTCCACATACCCATAACTCAAATCTCGAACGTAATTCAGAAGAAATCAGCTTGTTGACTCACCTGTTTCCAGAGGAACTCATCGTCCTGATTGATCCTCCATGTGGTGAGGAGGTGTATAGCTGACAGCACTCCTCCGCTGAGCACCGCCGCTCTCATCCGCACCGGCAGCAGCGTATAGATAATGTAGATGAAGAAGACGGACCACCAGATCCCCTCCGAGGCACTGCGGGGAGCCACCATTAGCACCCCGAATACCTGCACTATAATTAGCACTCCAATGACCAGATAGCTGACCATCCACATGTAGTCCTGGTGGAAGCCATTTCGATTGCACACCACCATAAGTGCCAAAAACAAGGCCATGGCCACAGACAAAACTGAAGCGTAAACTACGTCTGGTGGGCCATGAATGCAGTGGAAGGTGAGCATGACCCCGCAGACGATCACCAAAACGCCCATTAGCATTGTTAGCGAACTCTGGTTAAGCCTGAAGAAGTAGCGCTGGTAGAGACGCTCCAGTTTGCGCGACTGGAACTTCTTGGATTGGAAAACGCGAACCACCCGCTGCCAGCAGTCGGCAGCTGTTACTGACCCCGTACCACTGGCGGTGTCCTCGCTGGAGCCGTCACCACCCAAACCGTCCCTTTTCCGCCCTTTAACATCGCCATCCTCGAAGCCCAGGTCCACAGATTTAAGCCCCACACCCTCCCCCCCGCTTCCCATTTTGCCATAGTGGTCTTCCTGCCATCCGCAGCGCATGCCGAAGTTGCCCGTTCCCCCTGGTCCCCCTCCTGGTCCTCCTCCTGGTCCTCCAGACCGGGTGGCCTGAGCGTGGGGCGGCTGGGGAGGAGGCTCCATGGCTTCCACGTCCCGCAGGCAGCTCATGTAGCGTGGGTTGCAGAGAGAGGAGCCAACCTTGCGCTTGGACTTCTTGCCATTGCGCTCGCCCCACGCGGTCTTTCGGTCATCCACTCTGGCCACTAGGAAGCCGTTGATCCAGGACATTCTGTGGGGACACACAAGGAAACTGTCAATGATAAACAGACAGTATTTTTGATTTTAAAAAAATCTAGCTCGAGAGACATTTTGGGTCCTATCATACACCCAGCGCAATAAGGCGTAAGACGTGTTTGGCACGATTTATTGCTTTTTTCAGACCAGCACAACAGCATTTTCCCGTTTTGCACCACGTTGGTTAAATAGCAAATACATTTGCACCACTTTGTAGATTCCTGGGTGTGCCAGTCTATAAAGGAGGTGTGTTAAGGCACAATGTTGGCATGTTGCTATTTTGAGGAACTGAAATATAACACGCTATTGAAATGCTGGTCTGAAGAGCGCCTTAATTATATGCCTATGCAGGTTCAAACACTTACACATTGCTTAAAACACACAGGATGTACATCAATACCCAAATATCTTTACATATGAAATACAATAAAGGTTTAAAATGTAACAAAAAATATTATTTACATCATGGATATAAAAATCACTACCTGCATGCCTTGTTCATGTCCAGGGGGCTTTTTTTAGTTTATTCATTACAATTAGAATTTTTATTAAAATTGTTATTATTATAAGCAGTATTATTTATTTTATGCATATTTATATACGTTTTAATAAAAACAAGTTTTAGATTTGTCCACCTGGAGACATATACATCACCATATGAGGCATAAAAATAGGACGTGTGTTTGGATATAAAGGTTTTTTGACCACACTTTGCTATAATTCATTTATTCATTTGCTGAAAATTAGAACTGAATTTAGAAATAATCTTGAAACTAAATTAAATGTGTAGGCAAACGGATGTCTTTAGTGGAGTGTGTACAACACTGTTTCCTTATCTATGAAAGTGAAGGAGTAAATTAAAGAGTAAAAGTAAAGTAAAGATAAAGCAGAGGTCGAATGGAGGAGGCTCATTCTTTATAATTGTGCAGCAAATGATCTGTTTAACTGTTTTCTAGCTAGTAAAGCATTTAGTTTTTTCACTTACAACGTCCGCCATGTAAAGAGCAAATGCACCATAGAACGATGCAACTAAATCTTAAAGGAAATGGGAGATGAGGTTCTGATTGGTTTTATGCTCAAACCACACCCATACCTTATTAAGAGAATAAGCACAACCCTGTAAGACCCTGTAACCCTGTACTTTTCTGTCCTTAAAATAGTAAAAGTCGATTTGGACACACCGTTAATGCTTTTGCGCCATGCGCTTTAGACTTGAATCATTAAAATAGAGCCCATCGGTTTAATATGAATGACATGAATCCATTTTTAAAATGTAACTAAAACGTAACCATTAAGTAACTAAAATTTAACTACAAGTAGCCTTTGAGTAAGAACCTTTTCTGTAAAGCTGCTTAATCCTGATTTTAAAAAAACAGGTTGGAGGTGATTAGAGCTAAACTATGCAGAGCTGCGGCCCTACAGGAACTGAGTCTGAGACCATTGATTTAAATATTTGTGCTAAATATTGAAACAAAAATATAACTCTACTAAGTTTGAATACAATTTCACAATAATACAGTGTTTGCTGTATTTTGATCAAATGAAGCTTTGGTAAGCACTCAGAAAACATATAAACTATTTTTAAGAATCCATAAAAAACGTACATTTTGCATGTACAATGTAATAAATCAACGGACAAAACAAACTGCATTGACACATGGCAGAATGTGTGGATGTAATGTATTACGTGTTCACCTGTGTGGGTTCTGGTCTGCACCCCAGCCCTGATCTTGCCGTCTGAGACACTCATTTAGAGCAGTGGATGAGTGAAAGCAAAAATGTAGACTTCAGACAAGTGACTGATCAGGGAGTCCAGTTTGGTTCAGTTACTGTAAACTAGCCTGATGGCTCTGATGGTTTGATGCGGATTCTTCAACTGTATCTTCATAACATCTGGATCTGTTGAGAGTAAATCCAAAATAGAGGCAAAATGTCAGATGATCAAACCCAATAACACAATCTGAACAATATTACATATTTTCTTTTTAGCAGAAGATTTAAGTAGTATTTTTCTTCTTCAGCATCCATTTGTTTAATTACCCTGCTAAAAAATCCAGCCTAAACCAGCCTAGGCTGGTTTTAGCTGGTCGACCAGCCTGGTTTTAGAGGGGTTTTGGCCACTTTCCGGTTGGTTTCCATCCATTTCCAGCCTGGTCTTAGCTGGTCAGGCTGGGAGATGACCAGCTAAAACCAGCTTGACCAGCCTAGCCAAGCTGGGAGTCCAGCCAAAACCAGCTATGTCCAGCTTAATCCAGGCTGGTCAAGCTGGTTTTAGCTGGATTTGGCTGGTCATTTTCCAGCCTGTAATACATAGTAGTTGGTTATTACACCTACTTAAAATTTTCACATAGTTGAGTATTTAACAGGCTAAAATTACAGTGCACATAAACTGAGTAATAAAACAAGCGCAACAATATGGAAAGCACCAGGTATATTTCCCTAAACTGTCACTCTCATTCTAATTGACTACCACCAGCTCTTAAATCAACACACTTTACTTCCTTATCAGTAATGATTAACATAAATATGCAAGTTAAATTCTTAAGCAAGTAAGGAGATGCAAAACAGTAGCTAAGCTTCCATCACCATGTGTTAATGCACATTTTGAACGAGTGATGGACATAGCAAATTTCGAATAAAATGTTTTATGTTCATTTGAGGTGGTTTTGGACTTGTGTGTGAAAGGGTTAATGTGAATAATTAGAGAAGGAAAATTATTTGATGAATAAACTCTGACCTAGCGAATATTACAACCACATGACCATGAGCTCCATTATGGGTAAAGTCTAGATAGGATACAGCTGCGGATACTCACATCAATATAGTATAATTTTTGTGACACTGTACAACAATAATTCATATATTTACAATAATGTGAGGGTTGGGTTTAGAGTTGGGGTAGGGATATACTTTAATAAAATACATTGTGTAAATTTATAAATAATATATAAACAATTCTCATTAACTTTTGTCTGCGGCTGTATCCCTTTTAGCAAAAACCTCCATTGTGCTAACCTTGTTTACTGTTGGTTACTAGGTTACCAATACTACAGTTAGCCACTCTAACAACTTGATGGAAATCCATCTAATGCACATTATGGGACTCTTTCTTTCCCTTTTTTTTGCAAATTCACTGCTATTTAAGATGAAAACCCTTTTAATAACATTCCGGATTTGACATAATGGTTAAGTATTTATTTATTTATTTTGACCAGACAAGTAAGAAAACTAGGCAAGCACTGAAATTTAGTCAAGAGTGACTCTGATTGTTTTACATTCAATGTTAATCAGACCCCTTAGTTTTTCAAGATTTTTTTGTGATGTCACGATAAAAATTATTTTGTGGTGGTAATTACCCGAAATTTGCAAACAATTTTGCAATAAAAAAATATAAATCTAAAAAAATATATACAGTTGAAGTCAGAATTATTAGCCCCCTTTAGATTTTTTTTTCTTTTTTAAAAATTTCCCAAATGATTTTTAACAGAGCTAGGCAATTTTCACAGTATGTCTGATAATATTTTTTCTTCTGGAGAAAGTCTTATTTGTTTTATTTCGGCAAGAATAAAAGCATTTTTTAATTTTTAAAAAAACATTTTTGGGATAAAATTATTAGCCCCTTAAAGCTATTTTTTGTCCGACAGTCTACAGAACAAACCATTGATATAGAATAACTTGCCTAATTACCCTAACCTGCCTAGTTAACCTAATTAACCTAGTTAAGCCCTTAAATGTCTTGAAAAATATCTAGTAAAATATTATTTACTGTCATCATGGCAAAGATAAAATAAATCAGTTATTAGAAATAAGTTTTTAAAACTATTATGCTTAGAAATGTGCTGAAACAATCTTCCCTCCATTAAACAGAAATTGGGGAAAAAAATAAACAGGGGCGCTAATAATTCAGGGGGGCTAATAATTCTGACTTCAACTGTACAATGACACAAATCCAGCCTGATCTAACAAGAAAACGTTAATATTTTACGTTTTGTCAGTGTAGTGGCTAATTCGTATGAATTTGTACGGAGGCGTGGCACCCAACGCTACCCCTAACCTCAACTGTCATTGGGTGATGAGCAAATTGTACTAAATTTCTTTCAGATTTTGCTCCCCGGAGCATCTGACATCATGTACCTCACTTAGGGCTTCCCTACTGTAATACACCTAAAACAGGGATTGCTGTATAACTCGTCAATGGTAGGGAGAGTTAAAGAGTTAAATGAAACACAATGAAACACCAGCCATACATAAAGCAAAAATAATGTCCTTCAATTTGTTCATGTCCAGCGGCAGTCATCCTTGAACCAATCTCCATCATAGTAAGCTGCTTGCTTTTCTGTCTGTTCCAATGCTCCATTTGTTAGATGTTTCCCACTTTCTTTTGCAGTCTGAGGCACGCACAAAACACCCGATTTGCGCCACAGGATGTCTAATCGCATCTTTGCATTGACTTCACATGTAAATTACTCGCGCTTCATCCACGTCTGTTTACTGCACAGGCTGCAAAACAATTCCGCCTTTTTATGTAATGTAATGATTGTAAGGGCGCAGTTGAGACGTCATTTTTCGAGAGAAACTTAAAGACATCATGTGCGATGGGTATGCAAAGTCTATAAGTCATGTAAAACAATTAATTGCAAACTCAAATTAATTTGATTATATGGCTTAGTAGTTCATGTTTTATGAGATTATTTACATTTTTTGTGATTATTTTGCATTTATATACAAAATTTGCGACTTTTTGTGGATTTTGCACTGGATTCAGTGATCGCAGAATCACGAGAAACTAGGGGGGCCTGGTTAATGCTGATTTATAAAGGATAACTTATTGACAGTAAGAGGGTTGCACCATCTGAGACTCGCACAGCTTGAATATTTATACAATTCTGACACTAATTTTATACAAATGTTCAATTAACAAGTAGGTAACATCTGCTCTGGAAACACTTCTCAAGAAAGAAATGATCACAGCAGAGGTCCTGTTTCTCTGTGTTTTTTTCTTTCCTAAATGATTTAGTGTTTTAATCAAATCAGTTGAGTCAATGATTCAATGACTCATTCATTGTTGAATGATTCAGCAGTTGGAGGAATCGATTAAAGTAATGACTCAGTATGCTGGTTGCCATTACAGATTTCTGTAAAACATGAAGACTGCCGAATGATGGAGTTTCTATTAACCATTGATTTCTCCTCTACCAATAAGTCATATATTCCAAAAATCAACATGAAAATGCTGGTAGGTTCATATATGTATATCGCAGCAATGCATTTAATCAAAGGACATGTAGAATTTTTGTGTTACCTAAGCAATAATGGCAAAGTATAAGCCCTTATACTTGAGTGCAGTAATACTGAACTTCACGTAGATTCAGAGTTTCTAGATGATAAGCACATTTTTTTAGTGAAGAAACTATTTATCAATGTAAGTTTTTGAGTTTTGAATTGTTTTTGTTTTCAATTAAATTCTGAGCCCTGACAGGAGATGTAAGTTTCACATTTATTACCCTGCTCTTCTTGCCATTTAAGGATATTTCTGAGCTTTAAATGTTCTTTTTTTTGTGAGTGAATCCCTTGTGGAATGCGGTACCTTTACTATATCCTTCTCTGACAGTAATAGTACAAATATATGCTAGCATGCAAGCAAGTCCAAATTCAGCAACCATTTTTTAATTGATTAAGTTAGATCTTAGCAATCAATCATTTTAAAATAATATATTAATTTGTAATCCTCTCGCAAATCAGACTGAACCATTTTAAAGCAATTGCTAGATCAATTTTTCACATTTAATCCTATCCTTCTTGGCCATTTTGTAATGATGGAAGTGAAAGCGGAGAAGAGTCAAAACATCAGACAACGGTCGGAGACGTATGTGTCACTATATTGGGCAAAAGAATAAGACATATTTTAACTCTTTATTTTTGTTAATTTATTCATTTGGTGGGAATCAGACCTGAATTTAGAAATAGTTTAAAAACAAATCTTTGCACTTAACAAACTAAATTAAATATGTAGTCTAATGAATGTCTTCAGTGGAGTACGTACAACATCATTTCCTTATCCATGAAAGTAAAGGAGTAAAGAGTAAAAGTAAGTAAAGAGAAAGTGAAGAGGCCGAATTGAGGAGGCTCTTTATTTTCATGCTGCAGATGATTTGTTTAACTGTTTTCTCACTGATGCGTTTCGTTTTTCCACTTACAAAGTCGCCATGTAAAATAGCGACTGAATAAAGTGGTTTAATGCTCAAAACACACTCATAACTCATTAAGAGAATAAGAACCCTGTTGGACCATGTGCCATGGTACAAACTGTATTTTTCCATCCTTAAAATAGCAAAAGTGGCGTTGAACGTGCCCTTAATGCTTTTACGCCATGCACTTTAGACTTTGAGCCTAGATTGTTAAAATAGAGCCCTTTACTGTATCACTGCAGTTTACTTTGTTTATGTACTGCCAACTCTATACACAAGTCCTTAACTTTTTTTAATTTTGCTGTAATGTGATGATGTCCACCTTTTGTGAAGCTGCTTTGGAACAATAACGATTGAATCAACACAACTCTTCAGTTTTTTGAGGGGGACAACTTAATTGTTTTATGTTTAGTCCACTTAAAACAAATAAGTTAACTTGGTAGATGTTTGTTGGGACAACATGAAGGAATTGTGTCATTTTTTTTACAGTGAATAACGCTTTTTTCCAATATCGTGCATCCCTAGTTTGTATTGTCTATTTTATAAGTATTTTGCTTTTAAATTAATGTAGTATTTTAATGTAGTATAAAAGTATTTTGTCCTCTGCATATGTTAATAACAACCCTGCAATTACCGCTTTATTGACTCTGCATATTAACAGCTTAAAGAGATCATCACAGTGTTCTCTGGATTACTCTATTTGCATTGGTC